GTTGGATTTTGCAATATGCATTTGCATCTCATTAATAATAAAAAGCAAAATAATATATACATATATATATATATATATATATATATATTAAGCAAAAAATAAAAAAATACATAAAGCTCAGAAGATTTTGGATGCATTATTACTATAATTATCATCATCTAGAACTGGTGCACACTTACTAGTTTCTCCTAAATGGCCCAACTTATACTGTGTTGGATCTGGACTCATTCAAATTTTGACAGATTCTTAAACCTGAGCCCTATGTTTTATCAAAATTCAGATTCAGACAATTGGTGGAAAAATCTTTCCCACGTTTAAAAACATTACAAACCCATGCAAGTCCAATTTGACACCATCATTTTTTAAAAAACATCCTTACCTTTTTTATTTTCCCATTTATGAAAATAAGGCTCCGTTTGGAAAAGAGTAAAAATACAAATTTGTAGAGTATGAAACCTTGTATTTGTATTATTTTATATGTATTTGCACTGTATATATTTGTATTTGTAGCCTTTCCAAACTGAGCCTAAGGCTGTGTTTGGTTGTAATGCAAATAAATTTGCACTGATGCAAAACTATGACAGTGTAAATGAATTGAGTGTAAATTTTGACCTATTTATGTTTCAAATTTTAGCTTATTTTGTTTGATTGCAATACAAATGAAGTAAATTAAGACATAAAGCATAATAAATTAAAACCCAAAACAAAATTATAAGAGAATTTGCATTCCCATGTACTTATATTAGTGCAAATAAAATTGTACTACAACCAAATGTAGCCTAAGGTTCAAAATATTGATACATTCCAATATGTTAGTACCTTTTTATTTTTAGAGAGAACCCATTTTATGTTATTTTATTATAAAATAAAAAAATTTCTTAAAATCCGTTAAAATAGGCATGTTGGTCTTCAAAAGGTATGATAGGATTCCAAAATTTAGAACCTTGGTCAAAAGGACAATATCTTGTTATTGATTACCAATCGAGTCTTGTGTTAAGCACAAATCCCATTTTGTTTTACTTCAATACTAGCAGAGAGGCCCTGCGTTGCAGGAGCTCGCTCATAAACTATCAGGCTCGAGCTCGATTCGAATTAGAGACTTGAGTTCGAGCTTGAGCTCGGCTCAAGCCAAAAGCTTGAAAGTTCGAGCTCGGCTACTTTTAATTGCAAGCTTCTCAAGCAGTTGAGGTGCCGAGCCGAGGTCTCCYTCAATTGTAAAGGTGCCAAACTGAGGTGTTCCTTAGCTGTTGAAGTGTCAAGTTGAGGTTTCCCTAGCAGGTGAGGTGTCAAGCTAAGGTCTCTCTTAGTTGACAAGGTTTCGAGCTAAGGTCTCCCTCATTTGTCGAGGTGTTGAACCGAGACCTCCCTCGATGACCAAGGTGCCGAGCCGATGTCTCCCTCAGTGGTTGAGGTGTCGTCTAGTTCGAGCTTGATTCAAATTAGAGACTTGAGCTTGAGCTCAAAAGTTTGAGCTTGACTTGGCTCGAACCCAACTACCTTTGATTGCAAGTCCCCTAGTAGTCAAGATACCGAGCTAAGGTCTCCCTCAATTGGAGAGAGTGGCATTCTTGTAATTTACAAGGAGAGAGATGGCAAGAGAGAGAGAGATGGCATTCTTGTAATTTGAAAGAAAGAGAGAGAGAGAGAGTTGGTAGGAGAGATAAAGGTGTAAAGTGGCTTATGTCGAGCCAGCACTGCACGACTTGTAGGCCGTTGCGGGTCGTGCTACCCTCCCCAGTGAAAAATTTGGGGGTCGGCCCGGTACAACCCATGGCCTAGGCCCATGCCGTGTTGTAGGCTGTAGGCCCTTGGTCCAGGTCGGGCCGTGCATTGAGCCAAAGCTATTTATTTAAAAAAATTGACAAAAAACTTAAAATTTTAATTTTATATGAATTTTTTGTATACAATTGCTTATATATACAATAATTAAATAAATTAGTATAATAACATTATTTATTTTATTAATATATTATATACTATATATTATAATTTATATAATATTATATAAATATATAAATAATATATATGGGTTGTGTTGTGTTGGGCTGGTTTGTGCTGGCCTGTAGACCTAAAACCCTAGGCCCAGCACGATCATGTCGGGCTTGGCATAGCCCGCGGACCGTCGTGTCGGGCTGTGTGAGGCCGCGGGCGCCATGGCCCGATTTACACCTATAAGGAGAGAGTGACAATCTTGTAATTTGAAAGAAAAAAAAACAAGAGAGAGGGAGAGAGAGAGTGGCATTCTTGTAATTTGAAAGTAAAAAAGCAAAAGAGAGAAAGAGAATTGGTAGAGTGGCATTCTTGTAATTTTATGAAAAAAGGTAAAAAATACTTTCAGATCCCATTTCCCTCCTCCTTAAGCCTTCTTAAGTACACATTTCAGCTTAATATATTTATWTAGATTTTATCAGTTATACACTAAAAAAAGTATTAATTAATTTCCAACCTAGCTATCTTTCTAGAATAATGTTATTTAAGTGACTAATTAAATAATTATGAAAATTAATGATAGAAGAGAACAAAGAAACAATATCATCATTGACTACAATAACAAAAACAAAGGCCATTTTAATTAGTAATAGCTGGCGATAAAAAAAAAAAGTCCAGAGTCCCAAATTGCAAGTGGAAGATGAGAGGTGCCCATATTAAAAATTTTCTCATGATAATGATAACAACACATCGTAGCTCGTAAAATATTCCCGGGAGATCAGAATCCGATGCTTTTGTAGGCATTAGCATTCCTCGCAGAGGTTTCCGTTGATGGTATCCAGGTCTATTTATTCGTATATTTGTTCTACTAAATTTTTAGGGTAAATTACAGATTACACATGTCATATTTTGGGATGGTGACATTTAGCCTCCCAAAACTTTATTTGCAACAAAGAACTCCCTTAAGCTGCGTTTGTTTTTGAATGAAAATTTATTGATGTAAAACTCAATTGATGAGTTTAAAATTTTAGTGATTCGTTAGAACTTTTTTGATGTGATAATCGATGAAAAAGTCAATCGATAGGAAGTTTTGCATCGATTTACACTGGTCTGTATTTACATTGAAAATGCAAATTTTCATCCAAATGCCAATTCGCATTTACACAAAATAAATGCAACCTTAGCTTTCAGATTCCAACACTTTGATGAACTTCTATTAACAATCCACTAATTAATTTTAAAAATGATTTTCATTTGATCATCATGCACATATTAAACATTTCTTATTCTCTAAACTACCAATTTCTTAATTTGCAAATTTATTTTGTCCTTTCTCTTACATATTTGTATATATCCTTTACTAGTGTTTCTTTTTTTTTCTTCACTATTTATGAAGTGAATGAGAAATATATCCTACCCATTTTTTCAGTCCATACTTTGGTCAAATGGACATTTTAATAAATTAACTTTTCCTATTAAAGGGGAGGTTAGATGTTGGAATCTGAAAATTCAAAGGGAGCATTTGTCACAAAAAAAAAAAAAAAATTAGGGACTGAGTGTCACAATCCAAAAATAAAAGTGGTAATTTATAATTTATCCAAATTTATAAGCCCCACAAAGTGGTAAGCGTGGTCTACAGGAATGAGCACTCCCTCGCCTCTTCTTACGTAAGTGGAGCATGCACGAGAAAGCGATTGGAGATTGAGGACATTGGGAGCGGAATCTTGGCCACTAGTCCACACAGATAACGCAACAGCATTAGAAAAGCGAAGACCCCACAAGGAAGTGAATCCCATGTCCACCATGTATATGGAGACATTGTATCCCATCAAATATTAATCGGAATTTGCTCCTTACAACGCACCTCACACTGACTTTACATCCCTATCTCACCGGAGCAAGGATTAGTTCAACGCTTAGCTGTTCAACCGGGAACGAGATCTGCTCCTCACATTTGGGCACYTTGTATGTACATCCACCGTGTATTGGGAATATCTCCCATGAAAAATAACTTGCAAATACGGGAGGTGTACCCAATGCATGATAGGATGTGCGTGTGAGGTGCCCTCTGTGAGGAGTAGATTTGGTCTCGTTCATCCGACTGGAATTAAAGATAAGGTTTTATGCCAATTTATAATTGGTTCCATAGCCTGTTGAACAATTAAAGCGTTCAGTTAATTTGAATTCATCTCACCATATATTGATAACATCTATTTAATACAAACCAAGGTTTTTAAAACCGGCCTAGAGATTGAATTGGTTAGGGATTCGGTTCTCGGGTTGAACRGTCTGATCATTTGAATTGAACGGTTGGCCCATTCTGACAAAAAAATTAAAAAATAAAAAATGGTCAAAACCATTGAACAGTTCGAACGATTCAATCATCTAGGTCATTAGTTTGCTGACTAAATCAATGGTTTTTTACAAAAATCTAGTTTTAAGGAAAAATGGAACCAGTCAYGATTTTTTTGGTCTGACCATCCAGTCCGATTCGGTTTTGAAAACCATGATACAAACTACAAAATACCGGAAATGATACCGATACATGATTGAAAGACATTGTGAGATTGGTGTGAAGAGCACCCTATAAGATGCAGATCGGGATTCATCAACTATTTTTTAAATGGATTAATTGTTAGCTTTTAACCATTATCTTTATGTGACGGGATCTGTTCCTCACAAATAGGCGCCTCACACACACATCCACCGTTCATTGGAAACATCTCCCGTAAATATTTACTAATAAGGGAATGGTAGGATGTGCGTGTGAGGCGCCAGTCAGGCGCCAGGAGTGAAGAGCAGATCCGGTCTCTATCTTTAGTGGTATAAGAATGATATGGTACCTGACTACTTTAATACTTTTAACCAATTAATTATCAGAAATCCACGTGAATTCGAATGAATGAATACCCGTTGATTCTTGATTGATGATAACGGTTGACGGTTGTTTTTGGTTATCAGTTTTTTAAGGTACCATACATTTTCGGTACCATACTCGGGCTATATTTTCGTAAACGGCTGTCAGCCTGTCACACTTAGAAAAAAGGCTTTCCCAGGTATAAAAACCAAAAACAAGATCACTATACTCCACGAGACTGGTTTATTGCAGCCCCCGTCTTATCTTCTTGACTCCTCCCAGCTTTTAATACAATTTTGTTTCTTCAATCCCGAAAGAACATTTACTAATCTTTTTTTTTGGGTTTAAGCTTTAATTTTTTTTCGATTTTTTCTCATCATTTGTTGGTATTCTTGTTGAACGGTGATGGCTCTGAAATTTCCGTCTCCCACAGAAATCGGGGGCATTTCTTTCTTGGACTCCAGTAAAGCCGACCTTTTCAAGCTTAAAGGTCCAATCTGTTTTCCCTCCCTCCTTTTTCATGCATGTTCCACTTTCTTTCAACGCTTCTTTTGTTGTCATTTTCACATATTCCTCCTCCCCCTTTTTAAGAGTTTTTTTTTTTTTTTTCCTGGATTGACTGGCTTGATTTTAAGTTCATTACTTTTGTTACTAGAATGATTTATCGACTGATTCAAACGGTCTGTGCCGATTTCCCGATTGTAATTTACACAAAAATGGACTTTCTCTGATTTTCAAGTTAATTTCGGCTTTGTTTGTTGCCGTAGTGAAGTAATTTACATATCAAGTGAAACAGATGACAGCTGAGTTTCTCGTATTTATTTTTGCTTTATAATGTCATAAAATAATGGAGTTTTCTAGCTCTAAGTTTTAAATCGTTACTGGTTTCATGTTTTTTTTTTCTTGTAATGTTTGAATTATGCTGTTCTGGATGATTATCTTCTTGTAGTTTTCGTCATTTATGCATTTTATTCAGAATTTGAGATCAACAAATTGTATTCTATTTGGTTCTGTAACTTTATTTTGGGAAATATGAGTTGTAGTGTGATACGAGAATTGAAGTATAATAAAATACATCTTCACTTTGTTTTATCTCTATGTTATGTTAATTTATCTATCAATTCACAAACACGATTTCCAATTGCTTTCCTCCTACAGGGTATTTGTGGTAGTAGAAGATTTTCTGCTGCTTTGAAGTGGAAGTCTAATGTTTAAGTTCTTTATGTCAGATGTACTGCTATTGAAGTATAATAAAATACATCTTCACTTTGTTTTATCTCTATGTATGTTAATTAATCTATCAATTCACAAACACGATTTCCAATTGCTTTCATCCTACAGGGTATTTGTAGTAGTAGAAGATTTTCTGCTGCTTTGAAGTGGAAGTCTAATGTTTAAGTTCTTTATGTCAGATGTACTGCTTTTTAATTGGCAATACCGTTTTTTTTCCTTTTCACATTCATTATGTCTTATGGTATGATGTTGTAGAGAGGACTAATATTTGTGTTTTTTTTTTTTTTTCTCGGGGAAGTTCAGGGGGATTTACTTTGAAGAGGAAGGAGAATAGAGTAACATTTGGAAGAAAAGCCCATTGTTCAGCACAGGCACCACCTCCTCCAGCTTGGCCGGGACGGGCTGTTCCAGAGCCAGGACGTAAGAGTTGGGATGGTCCGAAACCCATCTCTATCATTGGATCCACAGGTTCCATTGGAACTCAGGTAGCACATTTATAAAAAGAATTTCTTATATCTGGGCTTTTGTTATCTTTCGACAAGCTGCTATTTTTTTTTTTCAGATAGAATAGCGCTCTATTGACCTAATTCCGTCACTCTTAGTGCTATCTATTTTCTCCCCATGGTAGAAAAGCTGTCTTGCTTTTGTTTTTTTCCCAATGCAAATTGATTCCAGATAACCTGATTTTTTTGCCTTATTTATTTATTTATTTTTTACTTCTTCAGTTTCTTAGACAACTTTGTGATTTGGTACTTTCAGACTCTGGATATTGTTGCAGAAAACCCAGACAAGTTCAGAGTTGTGGCATTGGCAGCTGGTTCCAATGTGACTCTTCTTGCTGATCAGGTGATCATAAGATCTTCTAACATAAAGGATACAAACTGTCAGCAGTTTGGTTGTTGTTTAAATTCAAGGGAGTCTCTGGGTATTCAATGCATAAAAGTAATTTGTGGCAGGTGAAAAGATTCAAACCTAAGTTGGTTTCTGTTAGAAATGAATCATTGCTTGATGAACTCAAAGAAGCCTTGTCCGATGCTGAGCATAAACCTGAAATAATTCCTGGAGAACAAGGTCTCATAGAGGTCAGCTGTTATCTAACTTCTCTTGAGGATTGAGCCATTTGGATGATAAATGTTTATCACATTTCTTCATTAACATTTCCTTAGTTTACCTTCAGGTTGCTCGCCATCCAGATGCTGTCACAGTAGTAACCGGAATAGTAGGTTGTGCAGGGCTGAAGGTAAAAACTGAAGTTCTTTTGTCTAATAGTTGTTATTTTTGTTTCTTTCTCCTTGGAGCGTTAAGCATAAAACTTTTAAAACTTATTTGGAACATTATCATAGGGTGAGATGTGAGGTGGTAATTAGATGTAAAAAACTAGGAGGTCTTGGGATTGGAAACATCAAGAAAAGGAATATAACGTTGTTGGGAAAATGGTTGTGGAGGTTCACAGTGGAAAAGGAAAAATTGTGGACAAAGATCGTGGCTAGCATACATGGGTTGGAAGACAACGGCTGGGATTTTGGAATTGTGGCAAGGGCTACAGCTGCTTCTCCGTGGAAATTCATCCATGATCTGCTTCCAGTTTTCTCCCCTTGGACCAGGTACGATGTTAACTCTGGCAGTCGAATAAAATTTTGGGAACATCTTTGGGTTGGGGTTTCACCTCTGAAGGATCAGTTTCCTTCCTTGTATGCTCTGTCAGATTTGAAAAATGAACCTATCTCTTCTTTTTTCGTTCCTTCAGACTCCACTTATGGTTTTGGGTGGAACCTTGGCCTGCGAAGGGCAATTAAGGATACAAACTTGGACAGCCTCTTACCTTTATTAGCCATCCTTGAGAATATCTTCCTTGATCCTAATAGGGAAGACACCAAAATTTGGATCCCTTCTACTTTAGGAACCTTCTCTTGTGCTTCGTTTTTTGAAACCTTAACTCAGTCATCTGTCCCTTATGGTGTGTCTTTTCCGATTAAGGAATTTTGGAGCAAGCCCATTCCTCCTCGG